GCTTGCAGAGTGATCCTCCTAAGAGGTGGTCTGCTCAACAGCTTTTGCAGCATCCTTTTATAGTTAAATCACAAGTGGTGGTCCGAATCTTCGTCAAATGTTGCCGCCGCCTCGTCCTCTCTCTTCGTCTTAGTTCTTTTCTCTTACCATTTTTCATGTTTTATAAGTAGAAGTGAGGTTGTTGTGATTGAGGTATATGATTGGTCAGGTAAGAAACTCAATTTGAGTCTTGTTAAAATAATCACTTATAAATATACATAATTTACTCACAATTTATTATTTATTACAGATCAACTGATAAAATCTGACTAGCAATTGGGAAATGATCCTATATTGACATCTCAAAAAAGTCGAGAAATATGAAATCAAAGTATTTATGTTTGGTATTGCGATTTTGGACCGATTCAAACCTCAGTGGTGATTCATTTGCTGAATTCGTATGTAGCCTAGCCGACCGTTTCACCTTTTTGATTGCCGGAATGATGCTCCGATCTGCCCATTTTGGGTTGGGAAAGTGACTCGCACAAGATAAATAGAAACAAGGCAGCATATAACCCAAAAACAAAGCAATCAGACCAACATGATAGCTTGAAAGTTGATCCCTACCTAGTATCTAAGGCATGTATGCAACAACTTACATCTTTTTATGATTTCTCTCTTTTCGGTTTTAGTCTACACTCTAATGTTTTACCAAATTTAACGTCATGAATTTTTTTTACAGGATATCTACTCCTATAAAAGATGAAAACCCATAAGTAGCTTGTACATATCACTATGTTATCTTTCACAATATAAAAAAATAATATATATATCCGATAATAATAGCAGAAAAATTAGGAGGAAGGGTCGAAGCTTCCTAGCTAGGTAAGACCACCCGCTACGGAGGATGATGACGAGTCCTTAGCTCTTAAACCTAGGTTAATATGAATAGAATAATATTATAAAACCTAAGTTAGCTAAGGATTGGCTCGTAATTAAGGATTTTAAGGACTTGGTCCTTAGAGACGTGGCATTGTGTGATTGGGTCGGTGGCAACATGTGTTTCGTATTGCAAAAAAAAAAACTTCTCATTCTCGACTGAAGCCAAGAAAAAAAAAATTCCTCTCGACGATAAGGCGATTTTGCTCCCTCGGATAAGAAAGGTAAATCGAAGCCTTCTCTTGTTGATTTATGGATTTATATTAGGTTGCATGTTGTTTTCCTCTCAATTTAAGATTCAGTTTTGGGTTTTCAATCGATTTGGAGATCTTTTCAATTGAAGTTAGGGTTTGAAAACGATTTGGGCTTCAATCGATTTGGGGATCTTCTCGTTTGTTCTTACGGTTTCAAAACGATTTTGGTTTCAATCGATTTGGTGATCTTTTCGTTTGTTCTTATAGTTTCAAAACGATCTTTTTGAGCTTATGTCCTCTGACTCTGTGATTCTTTTCGAGCAAATGTTGAGCTTAGTGCTCTGAGTCTTTGATTATTGTTGTTTAACTGTGTTCTTAAGATTGTTACTCTAGAGATATCTTCTTCTATTAGATTATAATTAACTATTGAGATTGTATAGGACAACAAGTTCTTAACTTTCCATGTCTAAATTTTACCTTGTCTATTTCTTTCAGGTTAACGAACATGGGACAAGATTATAGCTACAGCCAACCTTCTTCATGAGAAGAGTATAACATAGGTTTAACCTGCCTTCTTCAAACAGAAGCTGAAATGTACGCGGATGAAGCTGAGAGTAGCTACAATATTGCAGAGCCGGTTCAGTACCCACCTTAACCTGAGGCTGCTGATGAAATCCCGACGACATGCTACTGTGGTGGTGAGCCTGTTGTTGCAACATCTTACACTAGAAAAGATCCAGCCAGAAGGTACTTCACGTGCGACAATATTGATGATGGAGACTGCCATGTTTGGAAATGGTGGGATGTGGCGGTTATGGAGGAGATGAGTGACTTTCAGACACAACTTAGGCAGCTTAAGGATCAAGGTAATGAGAATGAGCAGAAGCTGGTTAAGCTAGAGAAGACCGTGTGTGGGTTACAAATGTCTTTGAATTGGTTGTTTGTCTAATGGTGTGTGTATTAGTTTTAATAGGTTTGGTGGTCATGTTTCTGCCTGGTTAGTTTCTCTCCTTGTGCTTTTGATTGTTGTTTCTGCAATGTTTAAAAAGTTCTGACTGTTTTATTTCATGTGTTTTCAGGAAGAGCTTCAAAGGCTTAACACGAGAGTCTCTGACCTCGCGAGTGTCTGTAAGGTACTCTACAAACAACTTCCTAGTCTCTTTTCTTTGAATAATAAAAACATATAGTAGTCTATATTTTTTGAATAATAAAAACATATAACGTGAAAATTAATTTTTATAAAAGCCAAAACTCATTTAGTGTAAAACTTCATAACTGGTGAGATTTGATTGGTGTTAAATGCTACTGAATTGCTTTCTACCTTCCTAACTCCTCAGATTTGATAGGTTTTAAATGTTATACTTAGTTAGAAATCGGTTCCTGAAGGCTTTGTGTTGCTAGTAGAGTACTTAGTCAGATTTGATTGGTGTTAAATGCATTTGCTTTGCTTTGTACCTTTCTAACTGCTCAGATTTTATTGCCTTAAATGTTTCTTAGTTATAAATCGCTTACTTAAAGGCGATGTGTTGTTAGTATAGTGACACAGAGCATTCTCTAACCATGGATAACAACAATGGTTTTGTTAACCTAGTGTATAGTCAATCTCCAAATGAGCTTGATTCACCCGAACCTGCTTGGTAGCCAATGTCCAGATGAGTCTGGTGTCAAGGAGAGGAGGAAATGGTCTCCCAAAGAGGATAAAATCTTCATTGGTGTTTGGCTTAACACCAGTAAAGACCCGGTGGTCAGCAATTAGCAGAAGGTTGGTGCTTTCTGGAAGAGGATTGTAGACTACTACAACTCAAGCCCTCACCTTGTTGGGACAACACCTAGAGAGTTTAGTTAGTGCAAGCAAAGGTGGGCTAGGATTAACGAACTAGTCTGCAAGTTTGTTGAATGCTTTGAAGCGGCTCTGAGGGAGCAGAGAAGAGGTCAAAATGATGATGATGTGATGAAAGCTGCCCTAGATATGTTCTACGATGACTACTCCATCAAGTTCAACCTAGAACATGCCTTGAGGGAGCTGAGGCATGACCAGAAATGGTGCTCCACCTATCTCGCTAAGAACAGTGTGAAGTAAAAGCGCAAACAAGTGTTGGAGGTTGATGGAGAAGAAGAAGTGGGAGAAGGAGAGGATAAGCCTAGTGGGGTCAAAGCTGCTGAAGCGGCTAGTAAGAGGAAGAAGAGTGGTAAAGAAGAGGAGTTGTCAAAGTTACAGAGCTTGTTGGAAATAAAACAGAAAATCTCTAACCAGAAACTACTTGATCGTTTACTCCCATAAAATGTTACACTAAAATATAAATTAGGGCATATTTCAGATTGTCCGGGCCTAGTAAAATATTGAGATGGGCATGTTCAAAGCAATAGACTTATTAGACTTATTATAAAGTAGGCTTTTCCTCATTCTAGGGTACCACATCACTAATTCAATGCATCACATTGCGACATGTGTCCACTAAAACTACATGATGTTTTTCATTAACTTAATTATGCGATTTATATGGACTTCGTTGTGTGTTGTTAGAGCTCAATAATATCCTTCAAGACCCAAAATGTTATCGTTAAAATTAAGATCCTTCATCCGCACCGCTTTGGAATCTAGGGTTCATCGCAATCTTTGATCTTCGGCATTAGAGAGACTGAGATGCAGAGGTTGGCGTGACAATTCTGTTCGTTGGGGTTTCGATCACGTCTTTTCGCTACCTCTATTGGAACGAGACAGTTTCCAGATCCATTACACTAATCTAATGATAGGTTCTTACTTATGAAAAATAAATATACATATATATTTTTTAAAGTTATTTTCTTATTATTTTATCTATTTGTGTCAAATTTTGTACCGGCGAAATTTATTAATTTATCGAGCATAATTTATAGAGGTTCTACTGTATATAATTTTAATTTTAGGTACTTGCGGGTATAATCTTTCTATGAATACTTATCAGTGTATATTTATTAATTCAAAAACCAACATGATATGATAAGTTATTATTATATTTCAAAAGTTTAAATAAAATGTGTTAAATTTGACAAAAAATGCATCAAAAGATATATGTTTATCATTGTGTTGAAATTTAAAAACAATCACATATTAAATTATTTTAAAAAAATATCTTTACATAAATGTTTTTAACTGAATAATATTTAATTATAACTTTTATAAGGTAAATTTTGAAATTTAATAATATAATATTATTTTCAGAAGCAAAAAATCAATTATATATAAAAGCACAATGTATATATATAAGAATTATCATGTAGTTATAATATTATCTCATGATTACAACACAATATATATATATATATATATATATATATAAGAATTATCATTTGAAAATGTTTTTATCTTTTCCAAATTTATTATATTAGCTTGTAGTCAATTATCTAAACTAACATATAAATATAATATTATTAATATAATTTTGTTTTGATTATATAATAACTTACATATATTAATTTCATTAAAGGTAACAATTAAATTAACCACTCTAACTTTTAACAAAAATCACTTCACAATAATAATATAGATTCAAATTTGAAATATTTGAACCGCGGTAGTTGTATGTATAATATCTACTAATTGGAAAATAACTTATCAATGAATTAAAGAAAAATGTATAATCATGAAATTGTAATTTCTTCCTTTTAATATTAAGATAAACATAATCTATAATAAAAATAATGAAATATACACATTGAAAATTAAAATCAATTTAATTTAAAATTAGATACACATTTTAAGATATTCATTATAATTAATGATATATTAGATAATTTTTTCATATATTAATCTGCCAGTCCTAGTTACTATTGTATTATTATTATACTGTGTATACGAGAGTAGCCTGACCGATAAGATTAGCTCTAAAGATTCTCCTCGAACACTAACTTTAATTCACTTCCATTAGTAAGAATTGGGCAAACCGAGCCACAACTTAGATTATCTAGTGGGAGTTAAGGCAATAATTTACAATAATAACAGTGATTGTTACGGCGATAATTTAGTCGTACTGTGAATCACACAAACCTTCAATAATAATCATATGACTTTTGCAACAGACCTTCAAAATTTCCACATCTCTTGTCTCAGATCAACAATTTTCGAAGACTCCCCATAAACATCCCTCAAATACTGAAAAAAACCAACGAGATGAAATTGATAAGCAAATGATGGTAAGATAAAAAAAAAAAAGTGCCATTCAATTTCTTATATGATTCTGGTTTTACACCTTTTGACGATCCTCCTCAACTTCTGCTACCTTATCTCCAAGTACATACATACCTGATACCCAAAATAAATAGTAAAAATTACAAGCCGAGGATAAACTAAAAAGGAATGAAATTTTGTGTCTCTCCATCATCGATATCATACCTAAGCCATATCCAAAACCGAATGATATAAATCGACGTAGGCTCCACAAGATCTGTCCTGCTCCATTCGAGCCTAAATTCACATAGATACATAAACCGAGAAGAGTTGTAAAAGATTGTGATAAGTAAACAGAGAAAGTTACCAGCACTATTACTTGCTGAACAAGAGAATCTGCGGTTCCCTCCACGGTACTGTGAAACCAAAATTTTACAAACAAAATATCAAAAAGGAATGGAAACAAGAACGAAAAAAAGGGGGAAAGATTCAGAATCGGATCACGGATTTACCTTGGCAATTAGGGTTTTCATATTCGGCGGCATGATTGGGGATTAGTGTTCGTCCTCTCTCTCTCTCAGAAAGGGAGGGGGGTCTCAAATGTGTATATCGTTTTATTTTGGTATGGTTTAGTTTGCATCCCGGTTATTTTTGTCTTAGACCCTCGTCAATTATAGTTACTACTTTTGAAAGGCAAAAAAAAAGGAGAATGCCATTGCTGTTGATATCTACTAAACCTAATTGTTTAAAACATTTCCAAAGATATTCTATAACTTCGAATACGAAGTTTTTGACTCTCCAATAAAAAACTCTAAAATTTCTAATTTGAAGTTTTGAATAGTTAAACAATATAGAGTGTCACTATTTAAAATTTCAAATTTGAAGTTTTATATTTTATTTGTATATGGTCCTTATAATGACATCATATATATGTTTTTAAATATTTTGTTGTTAATCGATTTAATCCTCAAAAATTATTATCTCATAACTATTTCAAAATTATTTTTATAAATTTTAAATTTTACATGATTTTTTTAAAAACATCAAAATAACATGTAAAATATTTTAAAACTAAAACTAACAACAACAATATTACAAAACTTAATGTGTTATTTTATTTATATTTTAATATTTAATTATATACTTTTATTTATAATTTATATTTTAGTGTAACATTTTATATATGTGCTAGTTATTTATAACAGTTCTATGAGTTTGAATTAATTATGATAAATATAAGGAGACAGTATAAAATACAAATAATTTTGAAGTTGAGTTTGAAATTCTGCTTTTGAAATACAACACCTTTAAACTTCAAATTAGATTTTAACCCACGATTAGAAAGCGTGGAATAATTTTTCGTTTTAATTTAAATAGGCCAGACCATGGAATCCATGAACATAAGTTTTATTAACCGAATCCTCCGAACGGATAATCTGAAAAAAAACAAAAAAAAATTGAAAAATTAAAAAAAAATGATATAAATGTCCAAACTAATCATATATATATAAATTTGATCTGAATGATATATGATTATTTTATGGGTTCGGATGTGATACAAAGAACCAAAATCGATGTGCTATTTTTGAACTCAATCCATATTTACAAATTTACCAGAAATAGACTTAAGATGTGATATAATTTACCAGAAATAGACCTCAGAAGGACGATAGAGGTTCTGAGGAAGAGAAAGAACCTCAAGTTGAAGAAGACAAAGAAAAAGAGGATGAAGAGCTCCCTAATTGGTTTATAGAGTCATCTAAAGTCTGTGATTTTTGTTGATGCAAAAAGAAACAAATATTTAACTAATTTATTAATATTTAATTTAATTAGGACTTTGGCCGAAAATTAAGATAATAATTAATCAAATAAGAATTTTTTTGAAAAAAAAAATGAATCTAAAAGGTTACATTACAAAGTCTTTTTTAACTAGTTACCTCCATTCTATTGTGTACGTACTATTGTATTTTTCATCTTTATTTATAAGTTAGTGTAAAGGTCAATTTAGGTTAGAGAATCACCAAATAATGCATTTTGCTTCTCTTTATACCAACTTAATCATAAACTTTTTAATAATTAACTTAAGAGTCTAAAATAATAATGGAAATATGTTTCTACTCTAACTTGCAAACAATACTGCAAGGTTATATAGTTTATACACAATGCCAATGACAAATATATCTGCATATGTGTAATAATGGAAGTATGTTTCTATTCTATATCGTATCTAAACATGGAATCATTCATAATAAAATGTCCTACATGTTTCACAATTTTATAGAAAATTAGGATTGGCCCGCCCTACGGGCCAATTATGATAAAACTATCATATATGAATTTATATTAATTTTATGAAGCATTTAAACTTACCATAGATTGAAAAAAATATAAAAAAAGATAAATAATGATGAGTCCAATGAAAACAAAACAAATAATGAAAAGAGTTATGAGATCATATTTCTATTATAATAAATAATTTTGGTTTGAATCAAAATGACAATAGACTTCGTTATTCTCTATTTTTGTAGAGAATAGAAAATTAGAAAAAAAAATTCAGAAAATTTAATAATATATATTTTATTATCTCTATTTAAATTTGATATAATAAAAATCATAAGTTTAAATAAATAATATTATATTTATTTCATGAAGATCCAAATTTAAAAAATATTTTTAAAAATTATTTCTTTCATGATAATAAAATAGTCTATCTCCAAGCTAAATCAGTTAAAATATAATACAATTTGATAAAAATAATTTAATCTCAAATTTTAAAATACTATATATATATATATTAATAACATCATAACTAATAATCAATAATTTCTAAAATATATTTGTATTAGATCATATTTATATCTGGAATAAAATATTAATTACATTTTAGTGCTTTACTGGTTATGTTTTGTTACTTGTTTTAGCTTTGTTGAACTCTGTTTAATAATAAAATTATTTTTTAGTAGTGTTTTCTCATGCTATTTTAAATTATTGTTTTAAAATAGTATTTTATAAATTAATAAAATAATATACTTCTATAGCAGATTTTTATTTTAGTTACATAACAATTGATATCAAATAACTTACATGAGGAAGTTAGAGTGTAGCAAAACAAAACCAAACAATAAAGAACTAAAATAATATTTAGTTTTTTTTTCTCAATTGAAAGTGATTTTAATATACAATCACCATTTGTTTTTGTTATTATTATTTAAAATTATAGGTTTCTAACTAATACGAAATTTTTCATTTTAATCATGTAATTAGTTCACATTTCTCAATACTTGTTTTGCCTCTATTTTAATAATAAAAAAATAAAATTATTCAGAATTACAATTAAGATTCAACAAACAAATTTCTTTTTCGCTAATATAGATATGTCTTTGAATACATTTTACACATTTTCTTTGGAATCTATTGTTCTAAATTATGCAAAAAGTAAACTTTATCATTTTCCATTCAACTTGATAACTTACCACATTACTATTTAAAGAATTACATATTTAGTTTTAAAAATTCACAAATAAACCATGTTATCCAAAATAATTAAGACTTTTTAAAATAATAATTATTATTTAATATTCAAGGTATAATTAGTGATTATATTACTTTGATTTCCTTTTTTAATATAAGTTTTTTTATATTGATTATATATCTATATATAATTATGGTTATGGACTTACATGTAGGGTTTATAATTAAATTAACTGCTGACCAGTTTAAATAATGGTTAGGATTAGAAAGGGTGGAGAAGAGTATAATAAATTTGGGATGACATAATAAATCTAGTAATAGACATGAAGAATTGGACCTCTGTTGTGAGGATCCATAAGTAAGTTATATGAGATGAGCATGTATATAACATGTAATGACACTTCAGTGAGGAGGTTAAGAAGCACTTATGTAGTTGCACATGTGAGAAACGAAGAGCTAACAATATCCCACAATAAATATGTGTTTGCATAGAGAAATAAGACTTGAAAGAACCCCTATAAACCGTCTAGTAATAGAGATGATTAAACGGTGGTTGGCAGGTACACTCGGTTTAGCTTATATGGAACCAAATCACATAACCATAAGAATTTGATTATACAATAGTCTCACGAACCTGCAGTCCAATAAGTGAAGAGTCTTGTATTATTGTCAACATATAAATCCGGCTAACCTGTAATAAATTCACACATCAATCATTATACAGAACATGAGAATCAAAAATCATATTCTCATGCCCTTGAAGTTAACAGAGTGTACCTGCCAACCAGCTTCTATGCTGTTAAGGTCTGAATAAGTCACTGAGAATCTATATCTGCGAGAAGGTGAACTCATGTTGCTGCTGGATCTTTGGCTTTCACACATTTATAGTTGCTTTAAATCCATAGTAATTATCCCCTTCCACATAGGCTATCGCATGCTACATTTCAACAAAACAAATAACACATCTCAGATCAAGAAACCAACAAAAAAATAAAAACTTTGACTCGTCTGATCACCACTTTGGTTCATGAGGTCAGGTTCCTCAGATATAGGAAACGGGAAAGTTCTATGCTTCTTTCTTGCCATATCTATTGAATGAACTTTCTCTCCAGACATCAGCTTCCTTGTCCTCCTCATGGGAATGCTTCCTTTGGCACATTTATCATATCCATGCCATAACTGAGGGAAATATATGTCCTTTGATGTTAGGAGTTTTTGAGACTCCTAAGACAAATGTGTAGTATAAGAGATTGTCGAACCAGTTCTGAGGGATTTTAAAGCACTGAGAATGCAAGTACTAGCTTAATCTAAGTGCAATCGAATAGTTGATGGTTTTAAACTATAACTAAGAATAAGAAAAGCGATAATTAAAATAACTTCTTTGATTAAGAGAAAGGAGAACTCATGGGTATAGGGATTAGACCTTGGGTGATCAAGTCTCGAACTAAGGATTGCAAGCGATCAATTAAACTATCAACCTTACTCTAGACACAATTTTAAACAAGCTCTATGTCTAGATGAATGTTCAATTGCTAACATATCTCAAACATCAAATGTCTTTGGTTGAATAATATGAAAGCAATCATTTAACAAGTCTATTAGCTATCTTAGCACCTTTAACAACAAATGTCTTTGGCAAAGTATACTAAAAGTCTAGGAGAGTTGTCTCAGGCATTTCATCGAACACCTTTTGGGTGGGAAATGCCTATTGATCATCTTTTGAGTGGTTAACTTAGAAGATGCATTACGAATACTCTACTAGCAAGGAACAAGAATGATCTACACTAAAACAACCTAGAACTAACATAATCACCTTCAATCTCCCTAACCCATGAATTCAAAAGGTGATTTACTCACTAATCATCATGATTACTCTTAAACCTATGTTAGATTCAAGCTTAATCATGTAGATGATGAAATAGAAAAGTAAAACAAAGGTTTTTCAATGGTTTCTCTTCAAAGAACAAAGATTATCTGCCTGGTAGGCTACAAAGAGTACTTAAACTTAGGTTTTTC